AACCAGACCGAATAAAAACGAACATCTCTGTGTCCGGTAGTAGGTACTGGCATTGGGTAAAACCCAACCCTAACCATGATTATTAAACTTGTGAACGAATCTTTTCCCGAGTCAACTCGTTCATTTCGTTCATTGAATGAACCAAATGACACGAAAAAAGATTCGTTCATTTTGATAAACGAGCAAACGAGCATAACAGAACAGAGCAAGGCGAGCATTTGAGCTTATAATTTTTTTTTTTTTTTCAATTTTCATAAATGAGCGATTGTTTCACTTGATAAGACCCTTATTCATCATCTGGAATCGTTTAAAGCCCTTTGAACAGTTTGTAGTTTGCACTGAAACGGTCTTTTGGACCTTGAACCGTTTGGTTCCCATTGAAGTCCATTATATAGAGAAAAATGCTGGAATGTTTTCATCAAAAACCTTAATTTCTTTTCCACTGAAGAAAGAAAGACAAGTTAAAAAAAAAAAAAAAAGTGAACTACTCCTTTAACTGATAAAATGGGTCAGAACACCTTTCTCAACTTTTAAATGGCATTACATTTTTGCGTGTGTCTCCCTGCTCTTTGGTTTCCCGTGGTCTTCCAGTAAGCATATTTCAGATGGCAGGGTCATTGCGGTCACAGCTCCTCTGCAGCAGGTCCAGGTATGGCTGGTATTTGCGTACGGCCGTGTTCTGCACTCAGACAGTGCCGCTCTGGCAGGATCCCTGTGTTTTTGTTGGATGGCAGGAGCAGCTTCTCTAAAGCGGGTGATAATGGAGATGTTTGCACAGGCTTCCCTTTTTCTACTAAGCCGTCTCCAAAACCAACATAACCCTGAAAAAAAAATATACTAACCACTCGCTACCAGTGATACGCTCCCTCTAGGGGAGGAAATGGACATTTGGTGAATGGTTAGGAAAGCTGCACTTGTAGTGGAGACCTCAAGTAGGCTCCTCAAACGTCTGGGTTGAGCCATATCTGTATTGGGATCTCAAAGAAACCGTCTTAAATTAGGGATGAATGAGGAGGAGGTAAATGTGTTTCAAATATGTCGATGTTCACAACCCATTTTCTTCCATAATATGATGGAATTTAAAGTTGCATGGGCTGCTTAATGAGGGCATTTTATTTTAAGAATTGATAGAGACTTGGGCGTTGGATGGTGAACTATATCAGTAATAGTGCTTATTTCAAATCTTGAATTATTATTTTCTGTTATTGCAAATTATAATAATGAGCACTGATGAATTGTTCAAATAGATCCGGAATATGTCTTAAAGGGATACTCCACTTTTTTTTTGGAAATATGCTCATTTTACAACTCCCCCAGAGCTAAACAGTTGAGTTTTACCGTTTTCGAATGCATTCAGCCAATTTTCTGATATTTAGAAAAATATCAGTAACCAGACGTTTTCTGAAAACGGTAAAACTCAACTGTTTAACTCTGAGGGACTTGTAAAATGAGCATTTTTTTTTTTTTTTTTTAAGTGGAGTATCCCTTTAAAAGAAAATGCAAAAATTTTTTTTTTTTCACTTAATCTTCACATTAGTAGATTCTTTGTCATATTGTTTGGACTCACTCCACCATTGCTCAAAATCCATAGTTTTCTTTTTCCACAGAAGAGAGAGATAACAACATGTTTGGAACGTCATGAGCTTGACTTAATGAAAGTTGATTTCACATTAACTTTAGAGCCTTGATGTGTTTGCAGAACCTTCTCAGTGCTTTTTCATGAAGAAAAAATAATGTTCTTTTGCTTTAATGCCTATAACCAATTTACTGATCTGTATAACTGATGATTCCCCAAAAAAACATATGAAGCCCAAACTATCTGTAAGAAGTGGGCTCTTCGCTTTGACCTTTTAAGTGAAATCCCTCACAGTTCAATATTCAGTGGCTGTCATTTAGCTCGAGCGAGACCCCTCGCATTCAGGCCATCTTCATTGCCTTTAAATAGTTTATCTCCCCTCGCCTGTTTCTCTTCTCGGCTTAAATGGGTTAGGCTAATTTAATTCTACTTGACTATGCTGTCAGGTTGTTATACGTCCTTATTTTGTCCTTGTGAACGTTGGTACGCTACAGTTTCTTCTCATGTATAACATTGATGAATTAAGCTAATGTCTTACCTGAAAGATACCCTTAATCACGTTAGTCTTGTTTCTCTTCATGGTGGCTCATGAGTGTCAGGGGTCTTTTGTACTGATATGACCCCGTGGCCAAATGAGATCTTTAAGAGCATCTGGATTTCATCATTAATCACATCTTCACATAAGTCATGCATCTAGAGCATTGATAGCTAATGGCTTTTATTAAATGGTGACTAGAGTAAAATGATTACAGACACTAGGGTTCAATAAATAATACATTTAATGAAATATTGTCCACAATGCCAAGGTGTTCTGGGTGGCTGCTATTTGGTTTATTATTGTATTATAATAAAATTTAATTGATTTTGATTTGATTTGATTATTTTTCATATAGAACAGACATTACTATTTTCATCAACATTATGCAGTTGAGGTCAAAACACACAGGCATTGTGTGCGCTCTGTAAACAAGGTGATTGTAGTGCTAGACTAAATGTAAGCTTGCATTTGCAAAAGAAACAGATTCAGTATTCCTCAATAGGAATTGAAAAACAATATGAAATCCAAACTTTTGGATTTTTTATGTGAATTTAATGCGAACCTGCAATAAACAAATGTACTTCATGATTTTAATCTCACTTTATTGACCAATGTATTTGCTGCAGACCTTTGATGATCCCTTTCAACCATATGAATAAGCAAAAATGACTTTATAATAACATCACATTTGTTTAATTTTTTTGTTTTGTAAAAGTAATTTTTTTAAAGTAAAGGCTCTGATATACTTTGTGAAATCGAAGAACAAACTGATATGATGTAATTTCGAACAAGCTTAGGCCAAAATTAAGTTCGTTTGGAGTTTGTTTTTTTTGGTGGGTTTTTTTTGTGAACTTTTCATGTGAACTTTTATGAAAAGACCGCTCTGGCTATAAACACTACCATTGGTCCATAGAGATTACGTAAAAGGTGTGTGCTGAGGCTTCAGGTGGAAATCTCCTCTGGTTCATTTCTTCTGTTCAATCCGTCCAGGTCTACGGAAGAGGATCAGGGCCAAGCAATAATAAAAATAAAAAATAAAAACATCTCATTTAAGTCATTATAATGCGAGATTAAACTCTTGAGGAAAAAGTCGAAATACAATCTTGAGAATACACTCATTAAATATCGAGAATAAAGTCGTGTTTCGAGAAAAAAACATGTTAAATTTCCAGAAAAAGTCTAAATACAATTTTGAGAATAAACTCATTAAATATCAAGAATAAAGTCGCTGTGTTTCGAGAAAAAACTCGTTAAATTTCCAGAAAAAAGTCGAAATACAATCTTGAGAATAAACTCATTAAATATCAAGAATAAAGTCGCTGTGTTTCGAGAAAAAAACTCGTTAAATTTCCAGAAAAAAGTCGAAATACAATCTTGAGAATAAACTCATTAAATATCAAGAATAAAGTCGCTGTGTTTCGAGAAAAAACTCGTTAAATTTCCAGAAAAAAGTCTAAATACAATCTTGAGAATAAACTCATTAAATATCAAGAATAAAGTCGCTGTGTTTCGAGAAAAAAACTCGTTAAATTTTTAGCGACATGATCCCATTCATTTCAATGGAGCGCTGGCGACTTCCGGCGACACGAGCGACAGTGACCGTGGGCGTGTCAAGCGCCAAGAGACAAGTGACAAAAGTTGAGAAATTTCAACTTTATGCAAATGAGAAGCAATTTTCACAAGCGACAACCAATAGGAAAGAAGACTTTCAGTGCAGCTCACGCGTCACACTCTCGAGTGCAGGCAAGAGTTCGGGGATGTTTTCACTGTTTTATATGATTTGATTGTAACCACATACATGGATAATAAAACGATGCGTGGAAAAGAAACTGTCGACAGTCTCAGTGAGTTGAACTCATACATTTAGCGTTATAGTCCGAGTCTTGTAATTTTATGATGCACGTTTAGCACTGCAGTTCATTTTACAATTTCCCCTGCATTACGTTGACTATTAGGGACAAAGAAAATTGGTTATTTGTCAAATTCGAATGACGTTTAAATAATTTATGACAGCATGAGTTAGTTTAATTTGTCGATTGATCGATCGTTAATCTAGTAAATGATTTAATACACTGCTGCGTCAATATAAAAACACTCTCCCAACAGCATGTTTCTTTTTAGCCTTAAAAGTCATTTATTCCAAATCAAATTAAAATTATATAGTTGCATATATCACTTTTGATGGTGTTTTGTATAGATTCATACACTGTAAAAAAAAATTCAAGATTTGTTATCACAACATATTTTCTTTTGCCAAATAATTTATTTAGTTGAAATAACGTATTATTTTGAGTTTCTGATGGTTAAATTAATCTACTTCATTGTATTAACAGTTCAATCAACTTAAAATTTTAAGGCAACCCAGGTTACTTACTTTTTTAAGTTAAACCATCAATATTTTTTTACAGTGTTGTAATCACAACATTTTTTTTTCTTTTGTCAAATCAACTCAAATAATTTATTTAGTTCAGATAACATATAATTTTGAGTTTCTGATGGTTAAATTAATCTCCTTCATTGTATTAACTCACTTTTTCCAGTTCAATGAACTTAAAATTTTAAGGCAACCAGGTTACTTACTTTTTTAAGTTAAACCAACAATATTTTTTTACAGTGTAGTATCTTGCCATGAGTTTGCAGTCTTGCGTACAGTAGCCTTTATATCTATCCTTACTGTGGTCTGATTGCTTTAATCCAAAATCCATCACTCACGCCCCGGGGTCTCAACAGTATCCCATGGCCCTGGTGGCTTTTATTGCGGTCTGAGGCCATTCAGATGAACTGAATCAAGCCAATAAGAGTCATCTTTATGTTTCTCAACATCGAAGATGGCCAGGTGGCAGCAGAAACGCTTTGAACTCTGTGTAAATGCAGCTTCGTGTAACAATGAGGGGCCTCCCTCGGAGCTCTGGCCTCTTTCAGCGTGGATTAGGCCGTCCCGGTACACGCGGCGAATCACAGAACGATGTTATAAATGGACATGGAGATTGGCACGACCGAAGTGGCATTGTGACAGGCGGCATGTCTAGCTTCACAGCGAGCCGAGGAAAAAGAAAGCAGAATAGACACTATTGTCTCCTCGCTCTTCTATTGCCTTTGTGGGCCGGTGTTTTAGGGAGAAAAAAAATGGAAACGAGCTCAAGGCTTTTGGAAGGTGACACTAAAGCTCGCAGCATGTCTGGGCACAGCACTCTTTGTTTGTCCGTCTGCGTGAGTCAGAAGTACCATATTTTTTCTGTTTGTATCATATACTTGTATACCACAACATTGTATATTGGTGCGTGCGGTTTGTGTGAGTCACAAAGTGAGTCATGTGTTTGGTACTCAAATAGACATTTTCATTTAGATTTCCAGTCAAATTTGACATTTAACTCCAAGAAATAATTTGTTTTGTAGTTTTGATGCACATTTGGCACAGAGTATTATTGCATAAATATTTATGCCTATTTTTGGGGAATCTGGTGAGTTAAATACTTCTATATCTTATTTGAACATGATGGACATAAACCGAATGATTCAAGCATTACGTGCATGTGCAAACTCCTCCAGTTGTAATCACTTACAGCCACACAAAAGTAGATTTATGGATTAGTATGAGCAATGTGCTTCATATGGGGGAGATTTTCTACTTCATTTTTCAAACATGTTTTAACAACACTTCCACAGGACAATCTTTTTTTTTTTCCAGCGACCCGACTGTAATCAGAAGTTGTCAGAAATTAAGCCGTCGCACGAGGCCCATCTCGCTTATCGAATTTCACAGCAGTATCGCCGCACAATCACGCCATTGATAGCTGTGAATTCCCCTCCCATCAGATGTCAAACCAAACAAGTATGAGACTAATTCACTCGTTTAACTCTTTTACTCCCTCTATTCATTACAACATGTTCGTTTTGGTTTTTAAAGCACTGTTAGGTGTGAGATCTGTGGGAAAGAAGTACCACAAACTCATAGATGAAGAAGCAAAAAAAAGTTAAATGAAGATACTTGCCTCCTACAGAACTTTAGGGTATATCATACAAAGTATAATATACCTTATAGATCTTTAAAGGAGTAGTTCACTTTAAAAAAACAAAAAAACTTTTTCTGATAATTTACTCACCCCCATGTCATCCAAGATGTCCATGTCTTTCTTTCTTCAGTCGAAAAGAAATTAAGGTTTTTGATGAAAACCTTGATTTGATTTTCTCCATATAATGGGCTTTAAACAAATGGAAAGGGCAAAGGGTTACAAAGGGCTTTAAACGATTCCAGACGATGAATAAGGGTCTTATCTAGCGAAACGATCGCTCATTTAAAAAAAAAAATAACAAAGTTTAAGTTTTATAAGCTCAAAAGGGTCGTCTGTGATGCACGTTTGTGACTCTCCTGTTCGAACTCGTTCATCAAAATGGACAAATCTTTTTCCGAGTCATTTGGTTCATTCAACGAACGAAATGAACGAGTTGACTCTGGAAAAGATTTGTTCATTTTGATAAACGAGATTGAACAGGAGAGTCACAAACGTGCATCACAGACGACATTTGAGCTTATAAAACGACCATTTGAGCGATCGTTTAGCTAGATAAGACCCTTATTCATCATCTGGAATCGTTTAAAGCCCTTTCAACAGTTTGCAGTTTGCACTGAAACTGTCTTTTAGACCTTGAACCGTTTGGTTCCCATTGAAGTCCATTATACGGAGAAAAATCCTGGAATGTTTTCATCAAAAACCTTAATTTCTTTTCGACTGAAGAAAGAAAGACATGGATATCTTGGATGACATGGGGGTGAGTAAATTATCAGCAAAAGTTTTTTGAAAAGTGAACTACTCCTTTAAATATTGGCTAATTTTAATAAAAGGAATACTTTGTGTTGCTATGTGTCATGAGTAAGCAACTGAGCAGACAAACACTGTTTTTTACAAACGCGAGAGTCTCACTTATAATAAACCCGTCACAACTGTTTAAGGCTAAATAAACATTATTAACTGGTTTGTCATTTTAAACGGGTGCATGATGATGCTGTATGGTATTGAAGCATCCACTGTAGCGTTTCATCGCTACGCCCCGTTCACTTTGACATGTTTATGACCGGTTTCAACTTTGAAGGTCTAAATTCAGCAAATTTGGGCTTGCACATCTGTAACCAAAGCTGAATGTCTTTTCTCATGTAACGCATCAGTCATGTTCCCACAGCGGCTAAACACCCTCTGGCCCCGCCCACTACAGTAGCCGCCCCCCAAACTCTCACGATAGGCTGAGCTGGAAAGTGATTGACAGACCTTAGCTTAGTGTTTAGATGGTGCCTGGAGGCTCAATGTTCACACTTTTGGCAGAGATAAATCCATGAATGGCATATTAGTCAATGAACTGGGTTTAGAGAATGTATTTTAACAAAAAATCGTATATACCTCACCTTAAAAAAAAAAAAAAAAACGACAACACAATTTAAATGGAAACACTTTTTAAATCTCCTGAGCAGAGAAAGAGCAACATCTGAGCAATCAAATGCGTGTGTGTTTATCCATGGCTCGGTTCCCAGTTTTGGTGGTGTGTGAGAACATTGGCTGCTCGACCTCACGATGCTACAATGTGATCATGTGTGGGCAGACGTGACTAACACTAAAAATTACGGTTCTGAAAGGATGTTTTTGCAGTGATGCCATTTGGGTTCCCAAAAGATCCTCTCAGTGAACAGAAGAACTATGGCCCTGTCTACACAAGAACGCTCGCGGGTGAAAACGTAAAAAATATTTTATCGGATATGCCTTTCGTTTACATGGCGATGGCGTTTTTGGGGCGTTAAAACGCAAGAAGGTGAAACCACCCTCCAGAATGGAAATCTTAAAAACGCTCCACCGTCGCGTTCCCGTCTAAAGCCCAGTTTATACTTCTGCGTCGACTACGCCGTAGCTACGCTGTCGGCTGTGTGTAGCGCGTGTACCCTTTGCTGCTGTTAAAATCTTTTTTTTTTGTACTGTGTCAAGTTGCGAAATAGAACTTTTTGCCTTTGCTGGGGTGTTATGGCTGTTGCTATGCAATAGGGTGCTCTGAGTGGTTGCTAGGGCGTTGCTAGGTCTCCGTGTGATATCTTTGAGGATTTTTTCCACGTGTTTTTTGGACCAGTGTCTGGAAATATTGCATCTGATCGCTTGAAGTAACAGCACACCTCGAGTCAGCAAGACACATAAATCTTGATTTAATGAATCATTCATGTCTGGAAATTAATGAGTAAAACTTATTTACTACTTGTTAGAGATTTCTCTTTAGAATCTCGCCTGAGCAAAAACGACTAAACATACACATTATTTATTTATTTATTGGCAAGAACATGCATCTCCCCCTCCCCCTGGTGGACACAATTTAATTATTGTGTTTCAATAAATATATATATATATATATATATATATATGAAGAGTTCAGATGCAAAAGCCTCTAAATGCCATTTGAAATTTTCTTCTTTAATGATGATTTTTATCAAACTTGTATATTTAAGTTCAGTGATTTCACTTAAATGGCAATGATAATTACCTATTAATTGTTATTTAAGTGAAATTACTGAACTTAAATATACAAGTTTGATAAAAATCATCATTAAAGAAGAAAATTTCAAATGGCATTTAGAGGCTTTTGCATCTGAACTCTTCATATATATATATATAAATGTGTTTGATTGAAAACTAATTCTAATAACATTTATGCTTTTTTAAATTAATTTTATAATTTTTTATCCTTTATTATTTTTGTACTGAAACATTTTGGTAAACTAAACTCAGTGTCCATCCATCCATCCATCCATCCATCCAGTTTTTAGGTGTTGCTACCAAACAGATTAGTATTGGGGAATTTTAATGTAAGTTATGAAGTTTTTAATTTCTATCCATTTGTTCTTCGCTTAACCCATTTTTTTTTTTAAGCTAATCAACTTCTAGCTAAGTTGTTCTTCTAGTAAGACTATCAAACTTTTTCTGCAAATACATTATTGGAAATATTTAATAATATAATTCTAGTAAAATTATTAAAAACACAATAGAAAAAAAATGTGTTTGTATTTTAAATTCTACATTATTTTTATTCGTATAACATACATTTTTTTTTTTGTTTATTTATTTTTTTTTTAATCCTTCAGTATTTTTATACTGAAACATTTAGGTAAACGACTGCACTGTAACACTGACATGTGATCCAGCAGGGTTTGAATCATTTAGTTTGCCCGAAGCTTCACTTAATGCAATTCATGCCTCATATAAATCAGACGTAAATCAGCTTGTGAAAGAGCCTGTCCCAGACGTAACCCCAGCCCCTATAAAAGCGCCAACATGGACGCCATCCACCGCACTTAATAGGGGTGAAAGGTACCAGCATCTCATCATCAGACACATGTGAGTTTTTCACTCTGGCCCAAATAAACCCCTTGCCACCTTTCTGTTATCCTGTTCTTTCTTCTCTAGGATTGCGTGTACTCAGCCAGCGGTGCTGATGTTTAAAGAGGTCTGTGCCAAGAGCTGCTCCTCTGCAGTCGTACCCTTGTGAGAGAAGCAAACAGAAATGTTGCCAGCGAACAAGTGTTGGTCCAACTCAAACAAACCTAGCAGGCGAGCCATACAAAGCTTCACTTCAGTTCACACCAGAGCTCTGGTTTCAGGTCAGAGGATTACAGAAGCCACCTTTAGTGACGCTTCATTACTCAGACCATCGTAAAGCCCAATCACGGATGCCATTGCCAGGATGGGTTCATGTGAAGTGGCTGTGTTTGGTGATGTCATATTTATAAGCACAATTACAACTTGTAGTTTTACATGATAGTTTTACAGTTTAATTGACATCTTTAAAAAAAGAAAAAGAGAAAATGTCACCACCAAGTTTTACCAATGTGTGGGAATATCTGAAAATAGGGGGGAACACCTGGTGAACACCAGAACACCAATAATATTAATAATGTTTGACCAATGCTTCTGC